AATATTCAGGCCTAAACCTTCAAGCAAGCTCTTGTAATTTTACAATTCGGCGCAAATTTTTCGGAACCATTCTGAAAATACTAATCGCCCCTCAACTCCAAACTAACCAAGTGCAGATTAGCACATTCCGTAGCTGGAGGTCGTGGCCATACAGATACCGATACAAATACACACACAAGCATTGTGCATAGATGGAGATTGCTTTCATTTTCATGCAGGAGCTTTATGCATGTGGCTCACACGGATGATATTACTCTTGAGCTATATTGTTAATTTCTGTGTTTTTGGTGCTTTCTTCTAGAACCTTCATAATATTTATCTTGTCATTATTTGTTGTCACCGTACCTAGGCTGCTCAAGGCCAGCTGATGGTCTGTGGATCACCCACAAGCCTTAATTTAAGGAAGGTTTTCCCCGAATCAAATCTTCTCAGTAAAGTCAAACAAAAGTCCATACAATTCCTAGCAATCTCATTTAGCAAAACTCCTAAAAACATTTTCTCGTGTACCACATTACAAATGAAAGTGATACTATTTTTAGACACACCGCATTCTAGGCGAACTACGTTACATTATGAAGATAGCTTTTCAGTTTACCTACTTCTTGAGTCCGCACTCGAGACAAAGGAAAAGATAAAGGCACTGAAAAAGATAGACCTAGATCTTTGTTGTATTCAAGGCTGAGAAAAAGCGTTCTTCGAAGTCCGAGAGACAATGGAATTGTTTTTCTACGTAACTAGCGCCCTGACCAGCGGTGGCATACATTTTCCCGTAGGAATAAAACGTCCGCATCAAAATCAGTTGCGTGGTTTTGGAGGAGTCAGCGGTGTCCGAGACAGACTGACTGAGAAACGCAAAAAGTGACTTCATATGTATAGATATAGTATAGTTAACAACGCCATACTTACGCTTGACCCTGACCTTTTCTTATCAGATTTTCAGTTTGGTGAAAGCCTTTGTTTTCCACGATGCAAGTCGTTGCCAAGTACGTTCGATCTTGGCATGGTTACAGGATTTTCAGTGGCCATGTCGACTAAGTTGAACCTTGCGTTTCTTATTCGGACATTGATGATACGGAGTTTTCATTTAAGTTGCTCGTCCATCACATACCCCAAAATGAAAAGGAAATAAATCCACGCCAAAGATCTTTTCTGAGTTCTATAACCAGGGTTGCCTATATAAATTACTGGTAGACTATAGAATACATTTTCATCTACCGCCCAAGAGATACGATCGGAAACCACGAGAAGATTTCGAATACAATTGAGTTGTACGCCCGACCTATATAACTGGGCGCGAAATGGCAGCGCGAACTAGAGGGGCATAATGGAAGATAGCCCATCTCTTTCCCACAATAGCACACAGCCAGGGCTGCTGCGACAAAAGGGTTTTAATTTCGGTGTTGTAATTTTCGCCGTGAATGCGTGGTTGTGCCCGCATAGGCTTTGTTCTAAACAGGTGGAAATAGAGTTTTCTAAATGATAAAAAGATTCCGCTGTTAAAATACGGGTTTTGGGTTGGAGATAATTATTTAGGTATCTACACATGATGTAAAGCGTGAGGACTCAGTAGTGTTAACAAAATGTTGGATTTGAATCCAGTGTTTTGTATAACAGATTGTATCACAAAATTGCTTTCTTTTTTTATTTTCAAGAAAATGCTTCCTGCAAAATGAATGGCCACTTCCGCGTTGACATACTCGTAGTACTTTCTTTTATCTGTATATTGAGATGGATCTTCTTCAAAAAACGATATTCGCTCTCTCATTCTCTTGGTAACCCTGTCATAATGTATGATGCGTCGAAATAGATGGCAGATGGTGAAAACTCTCTGGAGAACTCTAGCTGAGTTACAACTCTGGCTTGCCACAACCAAGATTACCTCTGACAGCTGTGATGGCTGTTTCGAGCCTGTCATCTCTGTTACGAGGATTTGAAAGAGCATGCGGCTCAGAGATCCAATAGTTAGGTGCGATGTCGCAGTGAGATTTCAGAAAACATCTACGTGGATGACTTTTTTGCACTTCAATGTATATTTTGCCATTTTATGTTCAGGACTGAAGTGACTATTTTATTAACTTTCATGACTGCCAGTCTAATCATTGTTGGATTAAATAATTAAAGTTATATCTACATTTACCAAAGAAAATCCGGTGGCATAACATCAGGGGGCAAGTTTGTAAATATTTCGGTCCATTTTCATTTCAATCTCGCTAAGCATCCCATCAATCATGAGATTTGTTTGAGCCTTTCCCTTTGATTAATTTTCGGCACAAAACAAATTACCTTTGTTTACTTTCATCCATCCATCGTCACAAGTGTCAGAAGATAAGGCCTACTATGACCATTGTTTAACATTATTTACTGATATTTTACGTATATAGGGTGAATTTTTACTAGTGACCGATAGCGACTGGTGATAAGGAATAACTTTCCCCAAGGAACATAGGTCGAAAAACGAAAAAAAAATTTGGACCTCCCATAGTAACTGAAATCAGCTGATCGGCAAGTTTCTATGCGAGGTCCAAAATTTTTTTTCTTATTTTGTTCTATGTTCCTTGGCGATGTTCCTTATCACTAACCGGTTCTGAGTTTTGGCTATCGGTCACTAGTAGGTTATAGGTAAGGCGTTAGAGGAAATTGAACAAATGCTTACTAATCCATAAGCACAGACTATACCACCTTTCAGCATGAACTTTGCATCTTAGTTGCTCGACAACATTTTGTTTTACAAAAGTCGTAAGATAAGATTGATCGACTTGTCGATTATCCTTGAAGCTGTACAGCAAACTTTGTTCTGTTTCAAGGGCTAAGAACCCACGAGAAGTTGATCGCTAAAGTCCTTAAGTCATTTGCTGAGCAATTCTTGGCAAATTCACAAGACATTAGAAAAATTGATACCTTTGGGAATATGGATCAAGCTGTTGCAGGTTACTCTTCAAGCTGTCTTAGTCTTACCCTCCTGCCCCAATATCGACGTATCCTTTTTAGGTTAAGACATCCCGCCGGAATGTTCGTCCCGGCTCGTAAAATGGGGTTGCCATCGTTGCCTAGCGCCGACAATGTGTAAGTTTTACGACGTCTGACTCGGTGGCGTGTGTGTGTGGCAAGGACTGGCTCTGAGACACGATTCTTTACTTTTCCAGGCAGGAAAAGTAGTGTCTAGGTGCAATAAATTTTTGGGAGACCTTTAAATACTCTGGAAAATCTTCAGGAATGGAATGCTGTGAAGTCATTTTGATTTGGTATTCAAGTCTTCTTCATTATTGTCAAATTATCAAAAATTTGCTCTCCAATCTAAATTTTTCTTCCAAGCTCCTCATTTAACAATCAACATCTTTTACACCTCCGCCATGTAACGCCATAAACTCTGCTCTCTTAATGCTAAAGCTTTTACGGTTATGGCGCGGAACATAACCTTTAAGCCACTCCTCCAAGAGGCTAATTGCCACAAAATTCTCCCTTGCAATTACTCCGTATTAAGTGTTGAATGTTTCAAATAATTTCTTGTCCGCGGTAAAAGGGTGGCTTTTACGGGAAATTTGGGTTAAAAATATGCTAGAGTTAATGACTGCTACAGGAACTAACATTGTCAGACGAGGAATTCCACCTCTTGAGAGAGAAGAAGTCTCTGTAGAGATTTCCCCTTGATATCATCTTCTGTGTGATTATATTTCACCATCTTCTTCTATCTTTGGCTAATACCATTGAAGTTAATTACTTCTCCCGAGGCTTGGTGCTGATCACTTCAAAATTTATAACTCGATTATTCGTTATTTATCGAATATCAGCTGATTGCAGTACTAAGTTTGAAGCTCATTTACAGAATGTCGTTTTAATAATAGAAGAACCTTTGGTAATACTTTGTTTATTCATCATTTTAAAGGCAATGTCCATCGCAAGCCACGATTTTTATATGTCAAAAGTTATCTCTTACAGTGACTTCATCTATATCTCACTTCCACAATCCATTCTTCTATAGTTAAATTCTATGCATTTTGTTCTATGCCGTCTTATGTTCTCTCCCTATCTACGTAAATATCTTTGAAGACATTATAGGTAATTTCTCCGGATGATAAAATCAGATCTTGTGTAAAAGAGTCAGTGAAATGTAATTACGTTTCAGACGCTGTTAACTGGAGCCATCAAGGCGCAAACGGAAATTAGTATAATGGTCAGAACCTCTGAAAGGAAGGTTTTCATTTGAGATCATTATCAAAGTAATGGTAGCTCTTAGCTTATCTTACAATGGTATTATCTTATAATGGTAAACCTTTCTTTTTATTTTACCAACATACATGTATACTTTTATTTGACGGTCATTTGAAGAAGTTTTACTTATACAAAATTTAGGGTTGATATTTGGAAAACTTGCAACCGCAGGCAGGGTTTGAACCATGGTTTGAACCTACAATTTCTTGGTTGATTTATTTATTTGTTCGTTACGGCAGGTTGTCTTTTTTAGTGTTGTTGACTTTAGTTGAAATAAGCAAACTAGGCAAACTAATGTTATCAAATCTTGCCTTTTTAAATCAGAGAAAAAGTGAAGTTTGGCGTATGGATGCATGGAGTATATGTATTTCCATAATTTATAGAAAATTTATATAAAACATTTATAGAAACCACAATTACGTACTAGCCAGGCATAAAGTGCAGATTAACTGGTTACTGTTGAAATTTGAAGTACAAAGAAACCATGCTCACAGAGCAAGTGATTTTTCTTATAGAGAGCCATAGAGGGAATGCATTAATTTTGGAAAGTAGGGCAGTACAAATCTCTGCCCTTACTACAGCTAAATATTTCTCTTAATTGCCGTAGGACCTTAGATGCTGACATTCCCGAACCAATTAGCCGGTTCCCAGGATTAAGCTGGGGTGTAACACCTGCGAACCTTAATTAGACCTAACCTTACGAAAGATGCCTTTGGGACTGTAATCAAACAAGCATTCCAAGCGGCTGGGGTTTGGTACAAAGTGAAAATGAGAAAATTGAAAAATTCACCAGCGACCGCCGGGACTTGAACCCGGGACCGTGGGGTACCGTCCCACCGCTCTGCCACTTGAGCTACGGGCGCGCGGCGTACTCCGGTGAATTTCTCAACCTCTTGATGCTCGTCTCGAAGCGACGATTTTCAATTTATGAGAATAATATAGCCCTGTGAGTGCATTAAAAATCCCATTACATTTGTACAAATTGTTTCTAAAGGCCATGTTCAGGTACCAAGTATTTTTCTGTTAGGTCATAGCAGGGTCTGATAAAAAGCAGTTTTTTACATATTAGAGTGACAGTATACCGCCTATTCCTACTAGTAGGCGTCGGTCATGCATGCAATGATATTATATGTAGGCATGCATGTGTCCGGAGCTGACAGTTTACCGTGCCTTCCAAATCAATGAGTTGATTCGATCTGCAATGTCTTTACTAAACTGGGAACAATAACAAAGCGATGAATTGATTTCCAAACCATAGTTCTGTGGGAAATATATCACATTTCCTTTCATCCTATAGCAACAGCTATATTCTGTCGAATTTCGAACATTCTCCTTCACATTACGTCGGTTACAAATAATGATGGGGATTAGGCATGTAACTCATTAACAAAGCCTGCTATTACAATACATTAGTAAGCTATTACCATGCTACAGGCTTCGACAGGCCTATAGGGATTACAGTTGTGTGTAACCCAATATTATTTAGGAATAATTATACAAGGTGTCATGTGTTATCCCGAAATCCGTACTTTGAAAACCGTTTCAATTTTGTGTTGAAAACACATCAGTTGGACGGATGGTTTTGACCAAAGATTTCGCGGTTGCGTATTCGTATAACGCTTAAATTGTAACTAAATCTGTGCATTTCACTAGAATTACAATGATGGAAATTAAGAAGGGTAATTTACCCATTTTAAAACCTTGAGTCTAGCTAGGTGATATCCTATAGCTAGACTCCAGGGAACCCTTAACATTCTTTGTTTTTTGCACAACAATTTTAATTTAACGCTTTTAAAACGGCTAGTTGTTTGTCTTTAAGCAAGGCGTCCTTTCGCGAATTTGAGAAACATGAGTCTACTTAAACTGGTGATCTCAGCATAATTTTTAGTAGCAATTTATATCTATGTATATCGCATTTTTGTGTTTTTATAGAACTTTCAGGGTTTTCCATTACACTCTGTATTATCTTTATTATTACTGTATTGCCGTGTGATGCCGGCTTAGAATAGCATCACCTCAATTCCACCCGAGGATGTCGTAAAAAGCGACTAAGGGATAATCATCTACAGGGAATGGGCAGCAGCGTTCTCTGTCAGTGCAACATCCTGCACTGCGCTCGCCAATCCGCCAGCCGAGCGTGGTGAGTATGGCAGGCAATACCCCCCCCCCCCCCCTTAGGGGTAGGCCCATGTCCAACAGTGGACTGTTGTGGCTGTTATGATATGTTTACTGTATTGTACCTATAGTTGTTTCTAATTAAGGCTACGTATCGATTGTGTAACCTGAGTGTTTGCTCGTTGCCGTCGTGTGCTTTGTCAAATTTGATTGGATGTAGGTGCCCTTTGAGGCGCCCAAGATTGAATCCCTGATGAAAATTGGATACCGGAATACCTGACGTACCTTACATGTGAGATACAAAGGAGGTTGCGGTGAAGGAGTCGCCAAGGTAGGATCGTTTCCTTGAATCCATTGGACAGGTGAACCTACTTATGAATCTACTATTTTTTTAAATATTTTTAACCGACGAAAAAACAAAAGAGGAGGAGGTTCTCAATTCGTCCCGAACTTTTATTTTTATTTTTTATGTATGTTCACCGATCATTTAGAGACGCCTAGACCAATTTGAAAAATTCTTTTTTTGTTTGAAAGCGTGCACTGCACAGGTGGTCCCATTGCCATCAGGTCAGGATCTGATGGGAGGATCTTTGAAAAATTTGTAAATTCTTATATTTTGCGGCACATTTTGAAGCATAATGTACTTAGGCTTATAGTCTAAGCGGGTACGGTCAAATATCACCCGAAAGCTGTTTTGCCGGCACAGTTGATGCCGCTTTGCACAGTGATAATAGGGACCATTGTGAATGATTCCATCCGAGGAAATGAAAAATCCATCCACTGGATTTCAAGATGGCGGACCTTCGTTTTTTTTGTATGGCACTAAAAAAATAATTCTTCTGGAGCCCATCGTGTGGGGTATCAAATGAAAAGGCTAGACGAGACGATTTCAAAAATATATCGTTTTAATACATTTCAGTTGCCCTCTTAGAAAAAAACCAAGTTAATTTTTTAAAAGTAGATAAAACATGCCAAGTTTGAGGTCCAGTAGGTACAAAATGGCTGACATTATAGTGTCATAAAAGTATGCCAAATGATCCACCATATCCTCAACTCTAACGTGACGAAAGGAATTTTGAAAATAATAAGATTTAATGCATGTTTTGCAATGGAAAGTAGATCATTGGAAACTGCAGTAGGTTAGTAAGAACTGCTTGTGCGCCTTCATAAATATTTAAAATGTAATTCTTCTCATGATTGCTTTTACACTTAAATCTAGATTATGATGTGCCGGATCATTTTGAATCTGCGGGCACGGTTGTGCCCCAGCCAAGTTGAGTAAAAAGCCACAGGTACCATGTTGCTCTACTCATGAATGCTATCTCAGTTTATTAGGCCTGTAAGAAAAATTCATGTTAGAAATAAGTAGTGCCTGCTGTAACGTTTTATTTTTGTATTTGTCCTGTATTTGTTTTTGCGTAGTACCTACAATAAATGATTAAATTAAATAAAATTGTTTCTCTTGAAACAGTTCAGGCCAATTTCGACGCCCATAATAACGATATTTTGGATAATATTTAAAAACTGTGTGTTAAGGACCCAAAAAGTCATTAAATAAACATTCAATATTTCAAAAAAATCATTCAATTCCCTTAAATCTCTACTTATTCGACGGACCACAAAACTTCTAAAGCACTTTTAGATTACATGTACCTAGGTATATGAATGAAGTGAGATCAAAAAAGCCTTATGTAAAGATATGAGATACCATCAAAACAACTCAAAAAAAACAAGTCTCACCACTCATTAGGATCTTTAGAATCATTGTATTTCATATTTATACACTAAACACTAACATGATTCTACAATTAAACCTGCAATGAATGCTGTTTCGCTGTAAATTTAAAATGGTAATCCTGTGTATTCACATAGAATCACATAGTTAATTGTTTTTTTTTACTTAAACTTTAGTATTTTACTCCATTTAGAGCTTCTATATCTGCTAAATTAAATATTTCTATTTTTATCCAACATATCGTTAAAGGGGTCTCAACTTTGGCCGAAACTGCTTTAAGATAAATATGGTACGGCAAAGCCACTTTTTACTCGACTTGGCGGGGGCACAACCGTGCCCGAAGATTCAAAATGATCCGGGACATCATAATCTAGCTTTAAGTGTAAAATCAATCATGATGAGAATTGCATCTTAAACATTTATGGAGGCGCTCAAGCAGTTCTTACTAACCTACTGCAGTTCCCAATTATCTACTTTCCATTGCAAAATATACATTAAACCTTATTATTTTCAAAATTCCTTTCGTCACGTTAGAGTTGAGGATATGGTGGATCATTTGGCATACTTTTATGAAACTATATGTCGGCCATTTTATACCTACTGGACCTCAAACTTGGCATGTTTTGACTACTTTTAAAAATGTAAGTTGATTTTTTTCTAAGAGAGCAATGGAAATGTATTATAACGATATATTTTTGAAATTGTCTCGTCTAGCCCTTTCATTTGATACCCCACACGATGGGCTCCAGAAGAATTATTTTTTTAGTGCCATACAAAAAAACGAAGGTCCGCCATCTTGAAATCCAGTGGATGGATTTTTCATTTCCTCGGATGGAATCATTCACAATGGTCCCTAGTATCACTGAGCAAAGTGGCATCAACTGTGCCGGCAAAACAGTATTTTTTTGCTAAGGACCATGACTATTACCTACATGCCTTGCCTACCCGTTGACGTCTACTGTATGACAAACATCTGGCAAAGAAGCTTTTCAAAAAGAGGTTCTTTTTAAAGGTCGTATATGAATATTAGTCTGTAGCTCGGTCTGTAGGTATTTTATAGTGATTCTTGATTCTCTTGAAACTCTTATTTGGCTGGGCAGATTTTGATGAGAGCTATGTTAAAGGAATACTTTCGTCACCCGGAGACACCATGGCTAGTTTTCTTGTAAAATAATTACGTAATTAACTCGCAAATTATTGAATTTTATCAAAGGAGAGGGAATCGGTCGCGACCGGACCTATTTAACCAAACTTTTTAGGACCTACTACTATTGACTTGACGTCTTACATTACAGTTTGACTTAGCTCCTGTGCTTAGCTCAGAAGTCAGAACTTATCACACAAGCGGTTTTCGAACGGGTGCGGAGCGGAACGGACGGCCGGCGGATGCGCAGCGAATTCGTCACGTACGCGATGCGAAACGATTTGCAATGTTTTGATAGAAATACCAAGACGAATTCGCTGCGTTTCCGTTGCGCGTCCTCCGGGCAAACCGATCCGCTAGCAAACCGATTGTGTGATAAGGCTCTTTTGTCTCAAATCAAACCTCGAATCAAACCAATGATATTCGTGTTTGTTTACATTTATTTAAAACATCGACAGCATAAAACTGTAGCAAAATATAGCAATGTATATTTGATTAAATTGAATTTAGCTGTGGGTTGAATAAATCCTACTTTCCTATATGAGTAGGTAAATGTTTCCAATAATATTATTATAAGCAACCAATGGTTTTATGATTACGCAACAAGTTAGATCCCATGCTCTGTGCTATGCAAGCGGACATTCTAACTGAGAAGGCTGCCTGCCTTTCCCTAAAAAGAACTGCTGGTGTTGCTACAACTACATGGCCGACTAATGATATTATATGTGGCCAACTAATACTTTGCTTAGATCTTACGGGCACAAGATTGCCGGGAGTGGAAGAAAAGAGAAGAGGCCTATGTCCAAGAATGGACCCCGAACAGGCCGTTATGATGATGATGACGAATACTTTGCTTGTTGTTCGATGAT